GCCAGGAGTCACCCCAGCCCAGTTGTCTTTATGTATACTTAAATATGAAATGAAGTCATCGAGAGATGCTTTAGCTCTTCCAATTAAATTCAATGGGGTGCTACTTTCAACCTGATTGGATCATAGCCTGGGATTTGAAAAGTAGCTGCGCTTCTTAATAAACCCTTACAAATCTTTTTCTAAGTGGTGCACGTGATTTGTCAGACTTGGGCTAAAGAAGAGCTCACTGCATCAATTTATCCTGACAGCGTGTGTCTCTGATGTTTAATTTCATTAATAGAGGAACATTTGCACAGAGCATTCAGAATGGTGTGGGGCTGCTACAGTGGCAGAAAGTTAATAGTCTTGAAATAAATGATTGCTTCAGGGCAATTGAGGAGAGCGAGGGGGGAGGAGGAGGGCGTTTGGACTGTGAGCAGTGGTCTGTGTGTTGGCTGATCTGCGTGTGGTGAGGAAGCTGTGCTGGGGATGTGGTGCAAAAAAGAAAAAAAACAGGTTTTTTTCTTTCTTCACAAAAGTGGAAATAGCAACAGCCTGTGGGATCCACAAAGGCAAGGGATTGGTATTACAGGGAGACCCAGCTGAGTCAGTTGCTGTTCTGTCCACTGAGAAGAAAGGCTCGGGACCAGCTATGTTGTTTTAGCACCAGAATGGATGCTAAGGGCGCTTTCAACCCAAGCATCTGGCACAGCCCTGTTCAGTTTGAGGTCTGTCAGGAACCCTGCATGAAGTCTGCTGGCTTCATGCAGATGATCAGTGTGAGCGCGGTCTATAATTACTGAAGATGTTTATCGTGCAAATTAATGGAAGCGAAAGCTTTACTTGTACCATTGAGTTGAAGCATGCGGGTGGGTGTTTATGTGCAACAAGTCCCAGTGTTTCATCATGCAGGCACGCATCCCCCCCACACCGATTTGGGTTTGGATCTGGTTGCTGCTGCGATGGAGCGGCGTTAGATTTCCCAGCATCTGTTTTCTGGTGATATAATTACTGCCGCCGTGCTTTGCATCCCACAGGGCTCGTTCCTATCTCCCCGTGCTCCTCGCAGCTCCTGCCACGAAGGCACTGCACACATCTGCTCCAGCCGCCGTGTGGGCAGAGGCAGCGCAGCGCAGCAGACAAAGGCTGTGCGATAAGGAGCCGCCGGGCCGGCGCTGAGCTCTGCTAATCTGCGCTGCAGCTGGCGGGGCTGCCAGGAGAGCAGCGCTCCGCAGCTCTTCCATTACTAGATTAAATTTCCAAGGATGCTCAAAGCCATTTTTCTGTTTTATCTATCTTATTTTGTGTCAAAAAGTGGGTGGAGTGGGGGAAGTTCTCCAAAGTTGATGCGTAGGGCGTATTTATAATCCGTTCTGATCTGGCACATGCTTTGCCTTGGGCAGTCTGGAGTATTTTATTGGTTCTTAGGGATTTGTATCCTCCCAGATAAGTGCCTCATGCTGGAAAGGCATCGTCCAAGCACCCTTCTTGTACCATTGCTGTGAATGATTGCTCCAGAAGAAAATCACAGAATCATAGAAAGGCTTGGGTTGGATGGGACCTTTAAGATCCTGCGGTTCCAACCCCTCTGCTGTAGGCAGGGATACCTTCCTCTAGACCAGGTTGCTCAAAAATACTGAAAAAATGAAGCTCAGAATGAAAAAGACAACAGCAGTAAGCTCTCTGATAGGAAAAGAAATAGATATCTATTTTAATTCTACCATTCTGTGATAGTAAAATATGTCCAAATAGAATTTTGACTGTGACTCAGAGAACTGGGGGGAATTCTGAAGCACTGTAAAGACTTGGCTGTTTTGTTGATTTAACGGGAAATGGATTTGGAGGAAAACATTATGGTGGGGTTAGAGGAATCACTCTTAAAAAAACAACTTGAAGCAGAGTTGGGTAAAGAATTCTAACAATCATTACTGCCTCATCTGCAGCTGGATGCCACAGTGCCTGTGCACAAGCAGGTCTCAGCCTTGGACTCTGTAATACATGCAGTAGGGCAGCAAAGAAACCAGCCAGCAGGCAGCAGCGTGCAAACGAGCACTGGGAATGCCAGGGGCGATTGTAGCCATGGTCAGGTGCTCACTTCACCACAGCCTTCAGCAGGCAGATAACACACCAGTGCTCTGGGTTTGGGGGTAACGTCGCTGGAGTCCATGGAAAAAGGACAAGGAAAAAAAAGCTGGTGTGGAAAATGAACACCTTGAGCTTTGAGGTGGTTCTTCTTAGGAAAAGCTGCTTCTCCAAAGAGCGGTCAGCACTGGCACAGCTGCCCAGGCAGTGGGGGATTTGCTGTCTTGGGGGGATTCAGAACATGGGGATTTGGCACTGAGGGACGTGGTTGGTGGCCTGGGGATCTGAGAGGTCCTTTCCAACCTTAATGGTTCTATGATTCTGCTTCCTAGTGATCTTTTCGTACGTCTCTTCCCTCTGCCCTCCACCTTCCTCCTTTCCTTTGGTTTTGTTTCCAGTTTCCCTGGTTTTGTGGTGATGGCTGTGCAGCCCCCAGCACACCCATAAATCTGAGTGTGGATAGGGCATGTCTCTGAAAACAATTTTAGTAAGCAGAACAAAGTCCATTTAGTCTTCATTACATACATTGCATTTCCTGAAGAGACTGTGGCTGGATTTACTGTGTAGTTTAGTGAATTAACTTACATGTTCTTTCCACATACCTGAGCCTGGGGAATCTGAACTTATCCCACAGAAAACTGACTGAAAATCAATCAGCTCAGATAGATGTAAAGAGCTCACTGGGGAAACGCAGTCAGGCAACTCCATCCTGAACTACTTATGGTATGACAACAGCAGCCTGCATTTCCACTAATTCAGTTGTCTCCAGGGCATTCAGTGTAAAGCGGGTCCAGGAAACACATTTTTAATACCGTGGCTGCACAAATGGCTGCAGCAGGAGGCACGGTGAGGGGTGGCTGCTAACTGCGTGCCGGGGGCACTTTGATTCACTGCTGTCCACCCATGCGTGCCGACTTACAACAACACTGAGTGAGGCTGCTGGCACTTTGCAGAAATACAGGAATATTTATCAGTTCTCCAGCCTAAATTGTCTTTTCTTGCATGGTTCCTGAGACAAGGAGCTTTTTCTTCATAAAAAAAGGAAGGGGGGGGATGTACAGGGGGAGTAGCAACTCCAGTTGTCTCCATCACTTACCTGCTGAAGAGGCCAATTCCAGCAGTGAGTTATAGAGTCCCGTGTGCTTGCTCCTTTGCTCTACTCTCAGAAACTATAAATATGCTTTCTGCATTTGACACGAGATGCTCTGCTATTATTTCTGCTCCCCCCTCCTAACCAGACCCCCCCTTTCATTCCCGTTTCGGCTAGCTGAATGCACCACTCAAAGCTGAAGAGGTTTCTGTGCCACCCTCCGCCTTTTCTCCCTACCAGCAGAACTTGCTGTTATGAAATCGGTGACCTGAGGTTACACAGAGTGTGTGATGTGTATCAGGAAAGATCTCAGCTGCAGCGTTGGGAATTGGCGTGCAGCATTGGTCCTCTGGGTGCAGTTCTGAGTACGCAGGTTTTCCTATTTTCCCTTCTTCCACCTCTCTCATAACCACCTTGCTGTGAAGGAGGTGAGAACTGATATTAAGTCCACCCTGCAGCCGGGTTTATTAATCAGGACTTGGTTTTATGATTCTGAGCAGATACGTCCTTCCAGTCTGACCCAAGATTTACACATCTGTGGGTTAACTATGGAAGTGAACAGTGCGGCTGTGAGAGCTGGTGGTTCTGCTCAGATGTGCCAGACTGCAGTCCTGGGAGAGCCATGAAGTTTCTCTTTATTCCTAGCATTCATAAAACAGGCTTGTTTGCAAAATAACCCAGAGGAGCAGAGTTAACGTTTATTTGGGTTGACTGATGCTTTGCAGCCCTGTGGTGAAAATGTGAGCGTGAAAAGCTGCTGTTAGAGGTGGGACGCTGGTCTGCACAGCCAGGGCTTGGGATGGCTCTGTGGGGCTGCTCTGGGCGGCAGCGGGGGGTGAGCATGGGTTGCTGGTGGAGGGGACAAAACAGTGGGGGACTGAAGTATAACGGGGAGAGCAGAGCTGAGCTCCTCCAGTGGGTGGGCAGAGCGTGGTGAAGTCAGCATGGTGCTGCCAGGGCCCTGCTGCCCTCAGCTCCTCTGTTAACTCCTGCCCACAGACAAAGAAGCAGGCATGAGTTTTATCCTCCCTTCCCTTTGAACACGAGGTCAGCTGATTTCTTTCTAATCAAAAATAGATCCCTCATTCCTGGTGGCGAGGGTCAATAATGAAGGGGTGGAATTTATTTGAAGTAGTACTTCCACAGTATGCCATGCAAACTGCTGGCGATCAGAGGTTTAAAATAAGGAGCCTGGGTTTGTGCCAGGGTGCTATTTTTGAGTCCCATGTATTTATAAGCACAGTGCAAGCTGTGCAAACTGATGGGCTGTGTCCAATGCCAAGCCTGGATGTGAAGGGAGCTGCTGCAAGGTGCATGACACAGAAGGAAGTGCAGGAATTGCCTGTAGAGTTGTCCCGAGTTTCCAGCAACCTCACAAACAGAGTGATTTGAAGCTGCAGTTTCCATCTGCCCACACAACTCATAGGCACACTGAGGGGCATCCACCAAGATGCAGTTATGCAGGACCTGGAGTCCATTCCATGAACAGCAGGTGGAGGAGCGGCTGCAGACGTGAGCAGGGCTGTGAAACTGGCAGCTCCTGTAGCTTCCCCCAGTGCCTTTGCTGCATTTTAGCAGAGCTGTGGTGCCAGAGTGTTGCAGAAGTCTGTATTTCGGAATGTGTTTTTAGGAGGGAAATTAAGAGAGGGCAGGAGAGCTGCCAGCCCACCTGTGTATGGGAATTGAGGAGTCACAGCCTCACACACTGATTGAGCACCTGGAGAAAAGACCCAGCCAGCCCTGAGAGCACAGGTGAAGGTAACAGAGCCAGGCTCTACCTCTCCTAGACCTCCTTTAAGGGCTGGCTGCCATTGAGGAAGGTTCTGCTGGTGATCTCTCCTTTGTGGAGTTTTTTCTTTGGAGATGGGTGAGTGCTCTTCTTTTTGTAGCATCTTTCCATTACGTTGGTCCTGGCGCTGTTACACACGTGCCATTAGGCAAAGGGACAGGTGAAGGCAGGAATCCATCTTACTGCTGCGAGGCATTGAGCCTATTGGGAAAGGCTGTTTTTTTTCTTCTGGTGGCTTGTCCAGCGGGCTTCTTCCATATTGATTTCTCAGTTATCAGAGAGAGAAACACAAAGCAGACAAACCAACCAAACCCAACCAGGCAGCTCTCCCACCCTGAGCCCATCCCAAACTCACCCGCATTTCTCTCTAATGATGAAAGACGTTTGTGAGCTGTGATCACCGACCAGCTGACGTGACTGTGTGCTGTAGGGAAGCTGCTTCCTTTTCATTCCTTGCTCCTTCCAAAATTGCCCTTGAGTTAATTTAGAAAGGAGAATGTTTTCAAGACTCTGGAGGTGCAATGGTAGCAGAAGGAAAAAGGTTTGATTTTGTTTTTCTTTCTTTTTCTCTGTTAACGTGTGAACGTGCTTTCTGTCTGCTGCTAACTGTGCCTTCGGGAAGGTGAAAGGTTTAAGTTGATCCCATTAATGTATGTAGAAGTAAATCTTTTCTGTGGTGGGTGTTGAGTGACAAGGAAGAAAACTTTATGGCAGGCTGCTAGATTGGTAGGTAATATGGGCATGGATCTTTGTGAAATAATGTGGGAAAGCAGTTCTTCACTTTCATCTTCTGCACACAACTGGGGAATGTTTTCTGTTCCCTCCTTCTTCAGTGCTGCTGCTGCTGAGCTCTGTTGCAATGAACACGCAGGTTATCAGGCCAGATAGAAGTCAGCTGGGGTGAGGATTCATAAATGCTGGAGACCAAAGGCAGAATATGGAAAGCAAGATTTTTATATATACTCGTGTGTGTGTAATACGTATTTGTTGTGCTTGGCAGAGGAATCATTTTTAATGGCTTCTTAGTTTTTCCTATTCGGTTTGGTTTTGTTGTGCTCGCATTCTTCTACTTTTTTTTTTTGCAAATCTACCATGAAATACAGAAAAAGAATGCTTTGGGGTGAGAGAGTATGAAGGTGTCTCGTTGCGGACTTCAAACAAACTCTGCCATGAGTAAATCCATATCAAATTCATGTAAAATTGGGTTGGCTAGCACGCTTTTGATGTTCCTGAATTACTGCACAAAAACGTTCAGCAGAGATTATCTATTAAGATTTTTAGTTCAGTCAAGCATTCCTTTAACCAGACAAAAACACCTCACCCTGGGTGAGCGCCGGGCTCACAGCTCTCATCCCACTGGCATCGAACGGATCGATTGGCGCCTTTCTTGGCGCTGACATTCTGATCGCGTTGTGACCCCGGGCTGCTCCCACATGGCTGCCATGGCAGCGCGCCCTGCACTGCCCCAGGCTCCCAGCTCTGGGATGGGGAGCTCACTCACTGCCTGGGTGAGTGCCTGAGTTCATTTTGGCTCTCCAGCAGACAGATGTGGAGGTGCTGGACTGGCATGGGGCTTCATCCCGTGGCAAAATGAAGGCGCTGCTGGGTATTTGTGTTCTGGCTGCTTTTTCCTTCTTTCCATGATGTCAGAAGTATCAGAGTGGGCTTGATCTTCTGTATTTAGAAGGGAAATCAACACTGAATTCAACAGAATTCTGATAATTTCGGACATAGTATTTCTGCTTTGTTAATTGTAACAGTTTGTGATTAACTTCATTTGCTATAGGCACGTGTGTGTGGGAAGATCTCACAGACATTCTTCCCCCACTGAGGATGGGTGGGAGGTCAGTTCAGAGCTGAACTAACACTGTGATGGTGAATGGATGCCCATGAACAAAAACCTGAGCTCCTGCACGATGGGTGGGCACCAATGGGGATTGTGCTGGTGCTGGGTGTCAAACTGGCACAGGCTGTGGGGAGAGAGGGAGCTTTCTCCCCTTTGTAAGGAGAAGCGTCATTCAACCCAACTTCAGCTGACTGAATTTTGTTTATGCTTGGAAGAGAACAGCCCCCAAACCAAACTGTATGAAACTGAGACGGTTTCAGCCCTGTGGGATGTTTGGGGGCTTGCAAGCAGACAGCTGCAGGGAACAGTCACGCAGCATTGCTGATGCTCTGCTGAGCACGGTGCTGTGCTGTGGGTACACTGGTAGTGCTGCAGGGAGATCAGGGGAGCAGCAGGGCTGGGGCCGTGGAGCCCACAAGCCATGGTGCCCGTGGTTCGTTGTGCTCACTGCTGGGCTGGCCTACTGGGTGCACAGCCACACACAGCCCTGCCTGCTGTCAGAAGTGGCTCAGTGCCTCGAGGGGCTGCAGGAGGAGATGCTGGGGGCTGTGGGTCATAGGAAGCTGGTAGGAGTTCCCATTGCCTGCAGTCGGTTGGCCATCCCAGGCTGTGTGTGATGGTGCTGGCTGGGGCTCTGAGTGGTGATGGACATCTGCAGCCCCCAGCTGACCCCCAGGGCCCTGTGACTGATGCTCCAGGGGTGCAGGAGATGCTCTGGGAAATGGGGACCTGCTGGACCCGTCTCCTTCTGTGCTCTGTGACATTTGTTTCCATCTGCCTCTGCTGCTCTTGCTCTGTTACATGGTGCCTTGCCTCCAAGCTTGAATTATTGCCTACATGCATGGGTAGAGCCTTTGGAAAACAACTGAGCATGTAATTAAGAGAGTCAGTGTGTTTTATGGGGATAGTGACGAAAGGAAACAGCTTTTCACTTTAGTAATTGTGAGTGCCTGTCAGAAGAGATTTGTGGCAGAGGGAGGTCAGTGGGAAGAGAGCTCCCACTGCACATAGTGGGCTTCTTCCTCGAGTGGTGTTGCTGCTTATCACTTATCAGCCTTCCATCCGAATTCATCAGGCTCATTGCAGATGCAATGTGTATGCATTGGCCGGGTGCTCTCTGGGCACACGCAGCCTGATTGCAATCTGAGCTCAAAAAGCCCCCAAGCCCCACAGACCTTTCTGGATGGGGGAGTGTCAGAGGGTTGTGCACAGCCTGGAGTGCTGGTGCCAGCTCGCTTCTGTGAGAGCAGATTGCCATTGCTCGGAGGCCTGGGCGCTTTGGGACAGGAAGGGCAAGGGAGGATTTTGCTGATACTTGGATTGTTGCACTCTGCAGATACTTCTAATCAAGCAGCACATTAATGTATCTCTTGTTTTCCAGTAAGTCATTAGTCGCTTAAGTGAAGTTGCTCATGTCAGTTTTCCCTTTCATTAAATATTCATATTTACTAATGGAAATTGTCTTGACAAATTGGTCAAACTGAGCAACTTAGGAATTTATGCCGCAGACTAAAAAAAGTTGTTTGGAACTCCCAGTGAGCCGAAGTAATGCTTGAAATCATTAACACTTCATTGATTTTATAATTAAAAATCCGTAGAGTAAATAAAGCATCCTTTAACTGTGGCATAGCTGTTTACCTCAATGCTTAGTATTAATATTCATTTTTTTTCCCTGCGAGTATCCATGAAGTTCTGAAGGCCCTTCTGCTGTCCCTATGGGTGCTCTGGCAGCTCCTGGTGCTCCCCAGTGAAGGAAAAGGCCCTGTAATGCTGGCTGGCTGAGCTAAGACAGAGCTAGCACTGCTTGAGGCCACAGCAACCAGTATTCATGAATGGATATCTACCTCCTCTAAGCAAGCTTATGTGTCCGAAGGCTTATGATGAAGTCAGATGGGAGTAATCATTCATGGAGACTAATTCAGCCCACTGACCAATAACTAACAGCCTATAACTAGTTTCACAGGGAACTGTGTTTTGATTCGCTGCCCCAAAGCGTGGCTGCTAGAGAATCTGAAGGAGAGAGAGGAGCTCTCTAACATAGACACTTTTTTAAAAGAATGAGCTTCTTTTGGCAATGACTCTGCTGTTACAAAGACAAAACAAATAGAAGGGATTGAAGTCATCCTTCCATTCATGCTTTGCAGCAGCTCCAGCTGCTTCCATGTGATGCATCTTTAGAGCTGAGCCCACTGGCCAGTGGGGGCAAATGCCCACCCAGGGGCACACAGCATCTGCCCCAAATGGCCATCGCAGCATGTGTGACCCAGAAGTGCTCTCTGTCTCTCACTCTGGCACACTCCTTGTGCTGAGCCCAGGCTGACAGTGCTTGGTTGCAGTCATCTGGAGCAAATGCGCTTCTCCCATTGCCCTCACTGTCTGCCGGTGCTGCTGCTCGGCCCAGGAAGGCACTACAACTAGATGGAGAGGCACAACCAGCCAGAGCACAGAGTGTGCTTAACTCACCAACTTCACATTTCTTGGGATAATGAGAGTCTGCTGCTGCTTCAATATCAATCTATTTTCTTTTCTATTTAGTCTTCATCTGCCTATACAATACACTCTAGTGGAGATTTCTCAGCAGTGAAGCCCTGCGTGCAGAGAGCAGTAACGGGCAGCACAGAAGCACTTGGGAGAACATTAACCTTGGAGCCCAGGACCTGTTGGCCATTGTGGCACACAAAGACCTGGCTGCAGCTGCTCTAACAGGATGGTATGCAACTCCAGTCCACCTGACTGCAAGCATCCTATTTTTAGTATCCTTAACTATCACAGATTTAGGCAGATTTCTGCCTGGTTTCAAAAGCAAATAGCAGAGCAGTGCTATTCTCTGCTCACAGAAGAACTCTGCTTCTAATTGTTACTGAACCTGCAGTTTTGTGAAGGGAGATGGCAACTCTGGTGTGCTGTGAGCGTGGGGCTGCAGCCAGTGCCTGTGTGCAGTGGGAGCATCTCTGCCCCCGCCTTGCATCCCTGGGGGGAGCACCTGCAGCCCCCTCCCTGCATGCAGGCAATGAACAGGAGTGAGCCGGGAGCCCGGTGTGGCCTTTTGCAGTTGGAGCACTCTGCTCCTGTGGCTGGCAGCTCAGGAGGTTTGGCTGTTGGCAGCAGTGCAGGGCTGCAATATAAGCTGCCTGAAATCCACATCTGCACAGCTGTGCAGATGTCCATGGGACTGGCATTTCAACTGAGCAGGAGTTTTTTCTTTAAGGAGTTCACATTTGATGCAGTTTAACATAAGACTGGAGGGCAAAGCATTTAGCAGTGAGATGGATGATTATTGTTTTAAATGAGCTCACAATCATTTGATGAAGTGGAAAACAAAAAATGTGTTTCAGGCATGTGATCTTTTCTGTGTTGTTTTTTTTCTGCCTGAGCGATGTTTTCTTTCAACACTTCCAAGCACACACGAGCTGCTGTACCACCATTGTGCTCCTGCTGTGCCCAAAGCTGCGCTCCTTCGGGCCAGGGGGCAGCACTGCGGGTGATGCTGAGCAGCTGCGTGCTGTGGGGGCTCCCAGCTGAGGGGGCTGAGCTGTGATGAGAGGAGAGCTCAGGAAGTGTTCACTGAAAGAACAGGTCAGCCACGTGTGGCCAAGGCAACTCAGTTCAGTTCATGGGTTATTAAAAAAGGAGAAGGACTTAAAATTAATCGAGTAAATGTTTCACTTAATAATTTATGTAAGAACTAATTGGCTTAGTAATGCCTCCTAATGTGCTGTAAAAATTCACAGGATAATGTGTTAGAGGTGAAAAGTGGTTGGATGGTAATTAAGGTCTCTCTTGTTGCCACGCTCTTCAGAAATTCTTTGCTTGTCTGCCCTGCTTTGGCCAATAGTACAGGTGATTTTTGGTTTCATGTATTTGCATCACATTTGAAGTATGTTATAGCACTTCCATTTTGATTTGAGGTAATTTTGTTCCTTGTTTATGTGATTAATACTTCATACTTAATATATTATATACATTCTATGCTTTTAATATAAGTAGAAATATAAAGAAAACACAAAAAGCTCTTCTCTTTGTGCACTGCAGTGCGCATACCTGGCCCCTCTATGTTAAAGTAAGGTAAAGCACTGGAAAGGTGTTACTGCAAATGGGGCTTTGTGCATTGCACAAACAATGGGATGGGAAATACAATGAAGCTGTGGGTTCTCTCATCAGCACGTGTGCTTCCCCACTGCTGAGAACAATACTGGAAATGATGATGTGCGATAGGAACGTGAGCCAGCAGATGAGGGGGAGGGAGGGAGCATCGCTGTGGTTGGTAATCTCTCCTGTGTTGTTAGGAGACAACTTCTGGGTCCGTAGGGAATGTTAGTTTGCTGCTCTAGAATGCAGAATTGAGTTAATATCCTTAATTAATAGATTTAATTAGAAGCTTTAACATTCTAAGATAACCAGCTACATCTCTGTGTAGATGAGTGTCACATCACTTAAACAGTAGAACACGCTGATTGGAAAATGATTTTGGCTTTGTCAAAGGATTTGATTTCCTTAATGGTGATGCCCCATGCAGGAGGTGTGTGGGGGCTGTGTTTGCAGAGCTGCCCAGTGTGGGCTTCCACCGATGTTCTGCACTCTGTGTAGGAAGCATTGCTCCCAGGCGTCAGCTGTCTGCATGCCTTGAGGAGAGCGCTGAGCCTCCTTTGGGGCACCTGGGATGTCTGTGGTTGGATGAGATATTCGGATCTTGTGGGGGAAAGAAAACTTCCGCCGATGTTCTCACCTGTTTTCCAGAACCTCGTGAGCAGTGCATCTCTCTGAGGAAGAGCCCTGCCTCGATACCTGCATTAAGGGGTAGCAACACACGTTGATGGGAACAGAGCTCTGCAGTCTGATAGGAGCGGCCGCAGTGGGATCTGTCCTTCCTGCTGCCCGGAGCTGAAGCTGGGCCTTGTCGCTTGTATCATCGACTGCAGGTAAGCGAGGTAATGTGGAAATAACAATCTACAGGGCTGAAAATACCTTAGAGAGAGGCTTTTTCTTGGACAAAAATCATCAGAGATAACAAACAACCTGTAGTGTGTATGCTAAGAGGCGAGGCTGTCATCTTGCTGCAGGTAAGTACTGAAAATACCTCTAAAGAACTTCTGTTTCATCTCCTCTAACTGCAGAGCTCTGTCTAACTGTGTGTGAGGATCTAATGGATATTCACTGCTTTGGTGAGATGGTGGCTCTGGCTGTGCAGTGCACTTGGGAGCATTTCCAAGATAAAGATGCCAAAATTAAGTACGATATTAAGCTGTAATTTCTGATACCTTCTAACAGGATGCATCAGGATTTAATCTCTTTGATTAAATCGGGACTCTAAGGTCCCACAGGACTCAATACAGTCTTACATTCCGCATCCTATTTCTTCGCATCACGCATATTCCCATGATTTGTCTTTGTTTCTCTCTGTCTGTGTTTTGTGGATCTTTAGAGAAAGTACTTTGCTAAGCTTAGTTTAACTAGAATAATTCCCATTAAATAAAATTTGTTCTGGATAGAAATGTGTCAGAGAAGGTATTTATTGCAGCGATTCTTATTTCAGGGTCTGTTAGCCACTAGAAATGTATACATGCTCTTCAGGGTGTTTACCCAGGATTCTCATCTTGGCTGGATTTTCCTTTCAGAAGGAAGAAAAATTTTCTGAGGAGAGACTGTACAATGAAATAAGAGGTTCCACGCTGTGCAGGAGCCTGTGGCAGAAAGCAGATGATGTTAAAGTAGATGATTCCCCAAAGCTGGGTGATCAGATCTGGTTAGGGTACTAATTGTCCTCCTAATCGTCTTGGCTGTATCTTAGGGTGATCTAAGTTACTTAAATTAGGCATCAGCTCCCCGCTGCCGACCCTGTAGAGACCATAGTGATATCAATCTCTACTTTAAGAAATAAAGGGTGAAATTCTGAACCTAATGATGCCAGGTTTATCTGTTTGTATTACTTAAAGCAAGGAGCTGAAGTGGAGGAGGGATCTGTAGAAAGTAAATGAAGGAAAGGCAAAGATGTGGGTTTTTACCTAAGAGCTGAAAACCTGAAAGCCTTGCTGAAGGCTTTGCTCTCTCTTTCATGAAGTTTCTCTCTGGTGGTTGTGGTGGCTGAAGGCAGCAATGAGACTTCCAAGGAAATTGCTCTGAGATTCATTAGTTTACACACGTGATTTTGGACAGTGCCCCAAAAAGGATCAGCTTTTATTGCTTTGCCCTGAGCTTGTTTGTGAGTTCTTTTATAAGCTTTTGCCTCATAAAGGAAGATCATTTGGAGATCGATGTTGTTGTGGTTTGTAGGTGCAGACCAGCCAGTTCATGTCTTGATCTGGTCCCATCTGAGTAAACTCAAATCCAGAAGCCACATGGGGACCTCGAATGGCACCTAGACTCATACTCTGTCTCAGAGTAGACTTTTTATGGAATAATGTTGTGTTATTTCTCCTCCAGCAGATGCATTGTCTTGCACTGTGAAGTGGAAGTGGCATCGTGGAGCAGCCCTGCATGGAGCAGCCCTGCACAGAGCAACCCTGCATCACCTCGTGGCAACCAAAGCCTCTGCTTGGCAGATTCTGTGGAAAGCATCAGGTCAGGCAAAAACAAAGGATATGGAATGAGAAGTCTCATGTTGGTCACTGGCATTAAATCGTGGGATGCCTGATGAATGAACACTGTATAAACATTGAGGGCAATAATAAACTCCATTATGTGGATGATTAAGGAAATAATTGGAGCAGGGAGGTAGAGAAATGCAAGTCCAAAGAGCCTATTAAAGTCGTGATGGAGTGAGCAACTCCTTGTGATCGATCTAAACTCAGGAACAAAAAAACTACTGAGGTACTCTGTTCATCCAAGCCCCAGGTTTCCTAGGAGATGGCAGGCAGTTCAGGTATGGCTAACGACGGGGCTCTTACTGCTCAGCTAAAATAACTTTCTCTGCCAGTCCCCAGATGCTCCGGGTTCTCCTCGGCTCTGTGATAATGAACACACACCCAGCAGACGAGCAGGCAGTGCTGCTCCTGCCCAGCCTCGCTCCTGGAGGTGGCTCAGTGCGTCGGATCCAGGTCTGACCTGAGGTATGATTATCTGGCAGCTCACGCTATGCTACATTGATTGCTTCCCCCCCAGTGACTACAGGAGTTAATCTACTTCAGCAGTGACTTGATCAACACTTAAATCTTAAGAAAAAAATAGAGAATTCAGGATAAGGTATAGGAAACTTCTCTCTAGATTAAGCCACTAAATGTCAGAGCTGTGTAAAGGCTTCGTCTGGAGTAAATCAAGATGAAAACTATATGAAATTTCTTGCATGCTATCTGCTTTAAGTTTAGCCAGCTCTTGCTGTTACCCAAAGCTAATAATCCTGGGCAACCTGAGCTGAGAGTGTGTTGGTCTGTTACTGAATCCAGCTGGTGTCACTCTGGAAGGGTGACCTGCACTCTAAGGAGCCCCGCACAGCCACAGGACACCACATGCACTCAGCATCGCATGGCAGGCCCAGGATTTAGACAGCTGTTGTGCATCACTGCCTGAAATACAGGTATGAGGCAGAAATACTCTGTTTAGCCTTAAAATTGGCTATTGTCACTGAAGTATGGCCTGCTTTAATGCTTTTAGTGCCAAACGTGACAAGATGCTGTATCCAGGTTTTGCTGAATCTTCCCATAGCAGCGTGCCTTTTGCCCTGGCACTGCTTTGCATGTGTTCTTACACATAGCCAATATTCCTGCAATGCATTTATGTTCATCTTCTTGAAGCCACAGAAAGCAAACAAGTGACAAAATCTCCTGCCATATCCAAATGCTACCTTGGGTGACTCAGGGGACCTAATGGCAAGTTGTCTGTTTCAGACAATTGTGTGCTCCCTGGGACCAAAGCAGACACTTGGATGGAGAGCTGTGTGTAACTGTTGGCTGATTTCATGTGATTTAGAGATTTCCTTTAGCTCTGTTATTAGCTTTTATGAGTCTTAATTGAGTAGTTTACTTGCAATGCACAGTGCTTGATGTGCTGGAATATATCCTTAAATGTGCATATGTACTGAGAAAATGGTATTTTTACTTCTAAAACTGAGAGCGATGAGCAGGGGAATAAGTCCCAGTTCTGGCTGCAGATATTTGATGGATCAATACAGATTTAATGGTTATTCTCTTTTGTATTCTGTGTCTGCTACACTGATGCAACAGGTATTCTACATTCTGTGATTTGCAGACATGATTTTAGTACAGTATTCCCTGCACTAGATTCACGTTTAGTTTTGTTATTTCTTTCCCTTTTTCACTCCAATCCTTTCTTTTGCAACAGTATTTATGTTTAAGGTAGCAGGTAACACAATTGCCAGGACATCTTTGGTAGCTGCTTGAATCTCAGCTGAGCACGCTGACAAACAGCGCTGACATGGGACTCAGATTTCTCTTGCTCTCACTGCTGTAGGGCTTTGTGGTTTCCTCTGCCTGGGGCTCTGCTTCTGTGCTGGAGCCATGGCTCTGATGGCACTTTGGTGTCTCCTGGGGACACAGGTTGGAGCCAACCCTGGGGTACTGGGAACAGCACCCACGCAGATCTTGCAGTGGTACAGCTTACATATGGACAGCCTTTGCAAACTAAGTAGTGCCATTCATCATAAAGCATCATCTAAATTTGTTGCAGAAATGCTCCTAGCCACAGGGAATTTGCGTTATGGCTTGAAGAGCAGCACGTCTTTCAATGCCTGTAGTAACGGCTGTCGGCTCTCTGAGCTTAAAGATCATTATCCAGCACTCTCTCATTCAGTGTAACTTTTATGTCTAGCAGATTAAATTTCTGGGCAAAATAATTACATGTAAAGGCTGCTGGCTATTATTCACAAGGGGCCAATTTTCTCGCCATTTGTTGGCATTTGAAATGTCAAATTTATGGCGCTGCAATCTATACAACATATAGTTCAAAAGTGGATTGTGAAAGGCTCCAGTCAAGTCCGCTGATGTAAATTCTGAAGATAGCTAGGCATCAGCGAGGGAAAATGAATTATCTAATTGAAGCCAAATGGCTGCTTTATTCCAAATGCACTTTGATGTCTGTTCCCTGCCCTGGATGTTGCTGAGCTCCTGGTGCTGTGTGTGGCAATGCCTGACTCTTTGAGAGCTCTGCTCTGGGCTCCTCAAAGGAGGCCTGGTGGTGCCTTCTGGTACCGACTGCTGCTGCCCTTGTCTTTGAGATGGAGGTGAGGCAGGACATGTTTTACTCCTGGTGTCTGATGAATTCTTTTGCTTTCAGTTTTGTGGTCATCACCTAGTGTGAGGAGCGTGATTGTGCTATATGAAGAGCAGTAATGCTGTTGTTTGGGGCTCCTCAACTCTTTCTTACAGCATGAAGTTTTGTGGGTATATGGTCATCTTTCCGGTATCCAGATCAGTGTTCTTGAACCTGTTTTAGGAAGCAGTCAGTGGCTTTCATTCAGGTAGCCTCTGTTGTTGTCATTTTAGGTCCAGAAAAGATTCATTTCTATCTAGTTAGGATTTGGTTTAACCATTCCCTATTCCGGAAGTAGTGCTTGATGAGCAGCACAGAGCTGACAAACTTGTTTCAGCATAGCGCTGCATGACTTTATGCAGGATGTGCTTTGCTTGTGCATGTTGGCATTACACACAGAGATACACTGGGGGCCTCCTGTGAATGAAGACCAAAGGGCTGCATGTGGCTGTGTGCACTGGGCATCTCACTCCATGCTATCTCCCCATAAAGGCTTTGTTAACAGACACCCCTTGCTCCTGCTTATTCTCACCGTGCTCTTGAAAAAACAATCAGTGTAAAACCCCATTGCCTCCTCCTAAGATGGATGACTAATGAGCCGTAATTGCTCCCCAACCCTACAGGAGGCTGACTTCATGAGGAGTTAAGGATTATCTAGCTCTATGTCCCTGGGAGGTTATTATTCCAGGAAATTAATTTAATTAGATTAGACCTATTAGAAATATAGAGAGAGCACTGAAGATTGGCAGGGCAGAGCAATGTGCTTTTTAAAAAATTGTAAAGACTGCAAGTAAAAGGGGGTAATTTTACATTATCAGAATTACTTCCATCTCCTGTGGAGCTTTATTGTTCTGAAAATAACACTCTGTTGGACCTTAGGGCAAACAGCTCCATCCACATCCATGCGAGAGGTGGTTTCGTGCACGCGGTGACCCTCGCTGCATTTCTCCTCGATTGTATTTGGTCTGTGTCGTTTGCTTCTTTGTTGTACAAAGCCCGACTGCACCTTCAGATGTCCATGTTGGAGTAAAGCACTTTGCTGTGGTGTTAGATGCGAGCTTAGCGCCTTCATGGCAGGAGCAGCACTGCTCCCCCAGGGTGCGCTTAGCGAGCAAGTCTTGGCAGTGACAGAGCAGTGCTACAGATGGTTGTTAGCCCTGCCCTGGCCTCGCAGCCTGATGATGTGTTGCAGGGCAGAGCTGCCTTTGTCTGCTATGGACCAGAGTTGTCCTGCCCAGATTGCAGCACCTGTGAGAACCACTGTGTGGATTGCTCTCCTGAGGCAGCTCTGCCCTGTTTGCTGGCTGTAAAACAAGAACTATTTTCTGCTTGTGGATGGAAAAGCAATTATGTCGCACAGCACAGGTGTGTGCTGCTGCTGAAGTGCTTGCTGGCCAGAGATGTGCTGTTGTGGCAGATCTCTGCCCATCCCCAGCCGGGGTCATGTGGGGTGGGGGGCGCATCCCAGGACAGGGCACTGCAGCTGGGAGCAGCTCTGGGTGCCCAGCAGGAAGTTTGGCTGTGCTGAGAGAGGAGTGCAGTGCTTCTGCTCCTCCATGAGGAGTGTTGGGAAAACAGTGAAAAATATTATCCGTAATTATTTTTAAAGCATATGTATCTGTGACATAGCGTATGTTCCCGAGGAAAAATGATCCACCAAACACCAAGAAATGTTGCTGCTTGGGAATTGCCCATTGATGCTGAGCAGTGAATCTGCTCTCTGATGGAGGGCATGCTGCCTGCAGGAGCCCCAGCATCCTGCAGCCCCAGACACCCACCTGCAGTGCAGACGACTCATGCCACTTGCACTGTGGGGGCTGCAGGGCTGGGCTGCAGGGTGCTGCCTGTGCCAGGAGAATGGGAGTTTGGGATGATTGCTTTTCTGGCAGGAGATTTACACAGCATGCTCAGGCTGAGGTTATCTCAGCAAGTGGGTGATAGGCCCTGGAATGGATTTTCATACTTAAAGGTTCCAGGCAAAGTGCTGTGTGGCTTGCAGTTTGTTTTGCAAATCCTTATCATCTAGCAGCTCTTGCCTGTGAAATGGAGCACAAAATAAAAGCCATGAGGAGCAGTCACAGGGATGCAGCCCACTGTTGCCCTGTGAGCACAAATGTGCTTCCAATGAGCCCCCAAACCTGGACTAGTGTTCACTGATCACTTTGCTGGGTCAGCCTTCCATGAGCTCTGACATTAGGCTCCTGCTTCATGTGAGGTGTGTGCAGGCATTTTGCTTCCTGGGATCCTCAAGG